TATAAATCACGTTCTAGATTAGAATTAGGTTATGTTTGGTAGCCAAAGGTTTTCCATGGTACTTGGAAAATCAAGTCTATTTTCCAACTTTTGTAGTGTTTGATAGGATTTATTTTTCATGGAAAACATTCTCCAACTTTAGGTGCCACCTAGACATTTTCCATGTAATTGAGAATTCATTTTCTCGATTACTATAGCGATTTTTTTTCTTTTTTTTTCTTTTTGGCAATAGAAATAAATTCTAAGAATTATTGTAAAAAAATATTTCTCTTTAATTGACAATTTCCATGTAAAACAAAGCAAAACGAACACGAAAAGATAGATATTTTTTTAATTTTTTTTGTGCAATGGAAACAATTTCTATCCCCAATGCTAGTAAATTTTATCCATTTAATTGACAATTTTTATGCAAAACAAAGCTAAACGAACATCAAAAAACCCTTTTATTTCAACATTTTTCACGTGAAAAATTATATCAATCAAATATAATAAATTGACAATTCCTAAGAAAACAATTTACGGGCAATTCAATTTCCTATAATCATTTTCTTTCCACTCAAATTCCATATTTTCTTTGGATATTCCAGCCAGAGGGCACTGTGGATTTTTGTGGTTTCAAAGGTTTCGATTATAGTAAAATAGATATGAATTAGAGATCTTTAAACTTCATTGTCAACTCTTTAATCTTAAGAACATTAATTTTCAAAAAAAAAGAAAAAAGAAAAAAAAAAGAAAGAAAGATTTTCTAAATCGTGGGAGAGTAATTAGACTAGTCGCAAAATTTTCTTGTATAGAATTAAAAGAGGGGTTTAGGCGCTTATTGCTTCAAACAGTGTTAAATTTGCTTAAATTTTGAAGTATTCATATTGTGCATTCATGAATTTGATTTAAAAAGCATGATGGCGTCTTCAAAAATTTACACTCAGTTCAATTAAAAATGTACAAATTTTATCAATGTCTAATCAATTGAAGCACACATTCATTGAACCCCCTCCCTCCTATTATCAACATGTATTTGCATATACATGTGTTTTATTTTTATTTTTATTTTTATTTTTGGAAGGAAACCCCTCTAGTGTCACCTTATATGAACTGTTGATAGGTCTGAAACATTTATAGCGTGTATATCCCTTCGAGCTGTCCCCTATCATCTTCAAAATTTCACCGATCAAGGTTGTGATCTTGAAAATGCAAAGTGAGTTGTTTGATCTTCGTCACGCTTCCTTGAGGAATGTAATTGAGAGGAACGTAGATTTTGCATACATATTAAGCATGGCTATTCTCGGAGCAACATGCAATTTGATACCGTTAATGAGTATATATGTATGAGTGAAAGGAAGAAAAGGAGATAGCCGGAAATGATCTCCACAGTTCAAAGAAAATCAAAATTGCAATCAAGCTCTCCACTTTATAATTTGATACCAGTTATGGAAAGGTTTCACAAATAAAAATCTGCTTCAAAAATTTATTCTCCTGAAGGCGACTTTGCCATATATTTGTGCAAGAAGTATTGATGCAATTCTTATAGCGAATGACACGTCTAGTCTTCCACATTAACAATTTCAGTTAAATGACAAATTGATGCAAAGTAGAAAGATAAGACTTTGCAAGACAAAGTTGTTTTATAACAATATTATTATCTTATAACAATATTTAAAAATTTACTATATGAATAAAACTCATATATAACAAAAAGTTGTATTCGACGTTTCTTCTTTCCACATTCTTTGATTTGATACTCTAAAAGTTTTGGTTGATAAGGCTCTGCATAATATGATTGTGTTTATTAAATAGATGTTCATATATTTGCTTTCTTTTTCCTATATCCTGTTTAATAGAATCGAATAGTTCCAAATCAAGATTGGAAGATGAGATTGTTCAACTTTAGAATATGAAATTGGAGAAACAGACACTCTAAGAATTAGAGTACCTTCAGATTTGTTATTATTTGAAAAGAAAAATAACAAGGTTCTTCATTTCTTAACAGAAGGTTGATCCTCTTCCCTATTAAATCTAAAAGCATAAAAACCAAAACATTTCAATATTCATAAACATAAATTGATAAACATCAAAACACAATTGCACGAAAGACAATTTTGCATTTCAAATACATCGTATATGTATTCTTGATTTCTTGTTAAGTCCAATTGCACAGTAATTCAAATTTGCAGGCTGCAATACATAAGGAAAAAACATTTGGTTGGCAATTTCTTTTTAAGTTCAATTGGTAAAAGCATTCAAATGGCAATTTCTTGTTAATTTCAATTACACAAGTCGTAGGCTAAAATGCAAAAAGTTAGAAACATTCAATTGGCAATAGGCACCCATAGCCCAAAGTCCACTTCACACAACCTTCCAAGTCCCAAGGACTAGCGTCTTCGATCCAAAAGTCGTTGGATCCTATATGCGATTTATCTAAAAGCGCGTTCGTTCCCTTTACTGGTAGCGAAGCCGCCAAAATTTCTGGAGAAAAATGGCGTGGAGAATTTTCATAAATTTCAATACGATGGATCTCAAACTATGGATGCATATGCGACGTTAGGTTTTGGTCAGAAACTTTGTCGAAGCTTTGAATTCTTACCCCATCTGCTGAATTGTCAACCAGGCAAGTCGTATGATTACTTAACTTTTATATTTTATTATAGGAAAAATTTCAATTTTTTGTTTATCAGTTGTGGTTAAGATTTTTCGAACTCTGCTCTTTACGATTGAAAAATTGATTGATTGTTCCTAACATTGGTTCCTTTCTTGATTTGATTTGGGACTTGTTATTTCTGGAATGATGAAATTTAAACACGAGGCTATGAAAAAATTAATCAATGAGTGAGATTGTTGTAAATTGTAATGAGGATATTGGGGCTTCACAAAGAGGCAATGCTCACCATGTAAGAGGAGTCAAATTTTTGTACCTTAGATTCAATCTATATAAAATCTTCTACAAATTCATCTCTTCTGTTGAGTCACAGTGTAGAACAGCTTGAATGGAGGATATATGTCACAAGTGAGAAAATCTCATAGGACTGTCCCAAATCATTTCTGTATTAACACTTCCTTTCCAAGACAAAATATTGTTCGGTTCATTATCCTTGGTATTTGGACTACTAGTTTCAATATGTAGATTTAATTTCCTCTTTCAATGGCTTTCCACAATTCATCCTTGTGCGTATGTGACACAGCCTCTTGGAAACCTTTCAGTTGTCGCCTATCAGTATGTGAGGTGATATCATATAACAGTCCAACTCTCTCTCTCTCTCTCTCTCTCTCTCTCTGATCTTGTCAGTAGATCATCTTTAGGGGTTATCTACTTATCTTGAACTTCTTGTTATGCATTGGTCCTAAGAAGAATTACAAGTTATAGTTTTATTAACTAGGCTTGTTCCCCATGATTATCAACAATGTTGGTGGATAAGAGGGTGAATTATTACAAACTCTATCTTTATTGATTGAATTATGCTTCTCTGGCTTCTATGTCTTAGAAAATTTCATTTTCATAGAAAACAATGTTCCCAGTTTTTATGATAGGATCCCACTCTCTATACGCTAACTTGTTATGTGCATAACTCGTGAGGACACGTTATTTATCTCTAAACCAAAATTTAAACTCTCACATTACACCTTAAACACCCTCGAATGCTTTTAGCATACGTCTTTCCTTGTCCAAGCCTTATCTGGAATGTTAGTATCCTAAGATACTGAAAGAAATGAAGTTGATCAAATCAACTGTTGTCCTTTCCTGTCTATGCTCAAAATGGTTTCAATCTTTACAAAGTTGATCAATCACATATATATTCATTTTTTTATGTTATCGATTTGGGTATAAGCACACGTATATCTTATCATCCTCATCTACTCTACAATCATCTTATGGACATTTTGGTCAATAAAAGAAATATATACAGAGTACCACCATAATCGTAAATATTCATAGAGCAAAAGTTAGAATAAATTTTATCCGGAATATGATCATGTCTTTGTGGAGGGGTCTTTAAAAAGAAATTGCAATATATTGATCTACATATTACAGACGGTAAATATTGCTTATTGCTAAGGACTTGAAGGTCCTTGTGGAAAATGTGGCCAGCCCTTTTCTCCAAAGGTTAATGGAATCATTCTAAATTGCAACATGTAGTAGACTGAATTTATCTTGCATCATGTATAGGTACCAATGTTTTGTCCATTGATGAGGACCCAATCTCACCCTGGTTTGTAGCTTAATATGTCAAATGCAACCTATATTGCACCCAACACCATTCTTCGTCCTTGCTTAGACAAATTTACAACCAGTTTCTCCCAACTACTGGTAAAGAGATCGATGTCCGATGACGGTAAGAGTGAAGAACAAATTACTGATGATGAACATAGGTTTGACAACATCGAGCACAGACTTATTGGGCTCGAAATAATCCTTTGCGATGTTTAACATACTTTAACTGCATTTATCGCCAAGGCTTTAATTCCAATTGTCACCTAGATAAGAGTAATTTTCAAGGCAAACTAGCAAATTACAACGCCAAGTATGACAACTCATATTTTGGCGAGCTTTCATCTGATGAAGAGCAAAACTAGATGAGGAAGAAGACACATTACAACACCTTGGGGACCATAGACTTTCAGGACTGGTTTTGTATAGAGGGGAGTGAGGCCGATGTCTTAGGCCCAACTTTAGAGGTGGCTTTAGATTTTAGCTTCTTTCATTCTTCCCTCGTTTTTTCTGCAAATTAGGTTCACTGCAACTTTTTTATTAAAATTTGATAAGTTAGGCTCATTCAATTCCATTTATAAGTAAGGCTCGATAATTTTTTTTTCATTGTAGGAATTCCATTTCTAAATTAGGCCAATTTCAAATGCAATAGAAGGGAACAAGCGGCTTAGGATTTCTCAAACCAATATTTCAATGATTTCTTAATTCTATTCAACGTGTTCATCACATAGGTAGTATTCAATTTATTTGTTTAAAATAAGAGAAATTTTACTTGATTTGATAGAAATTAATGTAGATCCTAAAAGAAAGAGTGAAGTAGAGTCTTTAGTAACATAAGACATACCTTATGCAGTCTTGTCTCAACTGATGCAGAATCTATAGTTCCTTCTGAACCTGTTGTGGAGCTCCTAGAGGAAGTGTGAAGATTTTTTCTCTTCAGTAGCTTTTTAATGAGATGTAGAGCGGACTTGTCAGTTTCCTTATCTTTTCGCTTTTCTCCCTGGTCAAATTTAGTTCCAGAGTTTTCGTCTTCTAGTGTAGTCTTTTGAAATAGCTCCCTTAGTGATGTCCTATGCTCGTTCTTTGCCTGTGGAACTGTCTCTGGATATCCAATTGCTGATCCAAAAAGATAGCTTTGCAGTGGACAGATGATTGCTCCATTCCCATTGCTTTCTGCACCTTCTATAGGCTTGCCGCTAAGTGTTATCGTGCTACAATGACTGCTCCTTCCAGCACTCACTTGGCTGTTTCTTCCAGATGATATATTGCAACTCTCATCTCTAGCTTCAGCTCCCAACACCTTTTCCAACTCATCATTGATTACCTTTAGTTCATTTTCTGTAACTTCAGTCTCTTTTTCTGCTATATCATCAACAAAGATAGAAAATTTAGGTGTTGCGGGGTCAATAGTGACTGGTTCTGTGCCCAAGGTACCAATAGCAAGGAACCCATGAAAAAGTTCAGTAAGAACAGCCGATGACTCTTCTTCAAGGTCCTCTTCTTCCACTCTTTTAGCCCCTTGTCCGGAAAATGAGTTTCTGACGTGGTTGTCGATTTCTAGTTTGCTGAAGGGCTTACCACAATAATTTGTCTTTGGGTAGCAATTTATGTCATCCAATGATGGCTGCCCTGTAAGGCAAGTGCAAGAATTCCCTGACAGAAAGTTCACAGAGTCACTAGGACAGTGAGTAAACCAAGTCGATGTTATTGGTGGCATCAAGAGATCAGGTGTATAAATATATATGGATTATTTAATAAAAACCATGTGAGTATTAAGATTTAATGCATGTTGACTTTGCTCTGAAGTGCCTCCAGATTGTCTTCCTGATTTTAGTCACAGGGATCAACTGGTGCATAACTGGGTCACTTGAGAATCCACGGTTTACCAGTGCAAGTGAGGTTCTTAGATACACACACATCATCGTGCCTCTCTCTCTCTCTCTCTGGAATCGGCAGTTTCAGCTAAATAAGGAACAGGAATCTAAATTATGTTTGATAAAATTGCAACATTCTCATTCTATTAATCAGAATGAAGTATCTATCCTTTTCTATTTATTGTCATTTATCCATGTTATTTACATGCCACACCTAAAAATTGCATGTTACACATTGCTGGAAAATGTGGAACAGAGTACATAATTTACCAATGGAAAATTCCTTGAGTGTCTCATTGTTGTTCTGCCGAAACTTACGATGCATCCAGCCTAATAGCTGCCAGGAAGAAACCCCTTCAGAACCTCAACGCAAAAAGATAAAGAGAACACTGTATTGAATTCTATAATAACAAAGTTACCTTCATTTTTTGGTCTACTATCAGAAAGCTTGATGATAAGAGGAGATGGAAGTAGAACTTTCAATAGTTTATCATGTGATATAGGTAATGTAATATAAATCAGTATTGGAAGCCTCTAAAAGTTGGTATTGTAAAGTTATAATAAACATGCAGAAAGTTACAAAATAGGGTTGGCCCCTTCCTATTCTTTTCTATTTTTTTTATTATTATTATTTATTTATTTTTATTTTTTATTATTATTATTTTTTTGGGTTTTGGTTGAAGGATAAAATGTATACTTAAATGAATCAAACGAGGTAACTTCTGGACTGAGGAGAGACTAATGAAATTGCATTCATATTTGAGATTCTGGAGTTTGGATGATCAGTTTGCAATCAATGTCAAAATTTTGTTTTACTTATTTAACAGATTTAGGCTGATAATTTGTTTCTCAAGATACATGCAACGCGGTTATTTTTAGTCATGTCTTATTTGTATGCTAGTGCTCTTTCATACTTGACCCGTTGATGCACTTTTAAACCTGCTTCTCATCTTAATTAACATCTCTCAGTCACAATGTTGCTTATCTTTATTATGTTAACAACCTCTTAGATGATGAACAAGCAGCACTGTGGGGATATTTTGTGATGCTAGATTATAGTGTCACTGGCTCGACCAAATTTTGGTGATGGAAGGGACCTCATCAACTGGAACTGAGCCATTGGGATTGTAAGTAATTAAGGCTTCAGTTGGATGTGTTCTTATGCTCTTCTTTCCATTTAATAATAGAGTGAGTAGAAACTTGAAAATAGCTTGTAGAAAGAAGTCATCAAATCTTTTATTTATTTCTTAAATAGTACGCTTTATTATTTTATTTATTTTATGGAGCTATGCTTTTAATTGATTCTATGCACCCCCGGGAACAATAACTGATAGCTTCACTGTTAAGAGGTGTTTTGGTTTGGTATTAATAAGGTTGACAATCTTACTAACGTGGAATGACTGGACCGTGATATACATGTACTATTGATAATTTCATGATGATAATGACATGCTATATCTACGTTTTAGCGAAAACATGTAAAAATCACATAGACTGTCATTTGAGATAAGAGTACTTTTTGACAATTTGGTTTGAGATAACATGGTTGTATATGTTATCAAGTTGTTATCTGATCATGTTGGTCTGCTCACAGTCACGTTGATAGAAAACTTCATCACAGAAAAAAAAATTGCACATCATGGCTTGGATTCATATTTTATTTGACCCACGGGACTTTGATTTGCCTATTAAACAGATAATGATGATAGGTTCAAGAGAGGCATAGGAAAATTTCGGTGAGAACAATGTTAACACATGCTAATTAAATGATCTTTGTAACTCTCCCACTTTTCTCAATGGAGAGAAAGGAAGGAAAAGCATTCAAAATATTATCAGTGTGAACTTAAAAATTATCAGAACTCTTCCCGCCCATTTGACTCCTTTCCCAACCTGATGAGACATTAATTTAGCTCTTTGTAATATCTTTCACAGATATGTCCTTTCATTTTCTTCATTCCAGAGTTTGGCCTCGTTATCTTTAAGTTTTATCTAATTTGAACAGTTATTATGACACAAGTAGTATGTTATGAAGACTAATTTCTCTTTGATGATCAAGTGTTGAAGATAAACCTAAGAGAGAATGAAATTTGTCTATGTTCATTTTCCCTTCTTTCCATTCACCTGACAATTGTGATTCTGGTAAAGTAGGTTAGAAGAGGGGAACATAGACCTAAAATTAACAATCCATTTTGGTTTCAAAGGATTTCTTGTATTTAGATATGAATTGAAATTAGCATTAAAGGATCTAGGTAGACATGTCAAAATTACGTGTCACGATTTACCTACAAATCCGTTTTAAAATAATGTGGTTGTCTGATGATTGATTAATAAACACCCCCATCTTTATTTGATGTTATGTGGGTGTGTTGATTAAATCATTGCTTAATTATCATTTTGCGATCTTGCTAGTGATGACTTCAATATTTTTGTTTCTTAAATCATTGCTTAATTTTAATTTTACGATCTTGCTAGTGATGGCTTCAATATTGTTGTTTCTTCATAGTCCTTCAAGTGAGAATTCAAGAGAATTGCTAGTGATGACTTCAATATTGTTGTTTCTTCATAGTCCTTGAAGTGAGAGTTCAAGAGAATTTGGCAGTGATTTGAGAATTCCTCTTTGATGCCTCTTCTTTTTTCCCAAAGTAGTTGGCAAGCCATATACTTTTTAGCTCCTTGTATTAAAACTCAGATTTTGCTAATTTTTGTATTTATTTATTTCACTACATTCCTTTAAAATGAAAGGGAAAAATCGTTTTGTGAACTTGTGGTTATGAATATAATGAGGGACATGAAATGTTGATAATGTTTTCTTTCTACTGTATATGAACATGTTTAGACGTTACAGGATTGCCATCAATTGATTGTCTTGAACATCAATGGCTAGGTTGGAAAAGTGAACTATATGATACTCGACAATATTAGTCGAAGAAAGAAAAGCTAAAACTTCTGTATATTATATTGTTGAGTTTTTTCTAATACCTTATACAAAATAAGCTCTTAAGTTATTTTCAAGTTACATGTGGCCACTGCATCTGCTCATGCCAGAGGATGCACAGTTAGACAAGTAAAAGATGCATGTGTAGATGGAGTGAGCCCTAGTTCACATGATCATGCAAAACCTAGCATTGATGTTGAAGCGATGGCTTATGCTTGCGGTTACAAAGTGACACTCGTTTACTGCCTCAGTCTCGACTTGATTATGACACATCTTGAAAGAGAAAAGGTATTGCATTCCGTACTTTCATTTGAAAAATACAAACATATATAGTTATGCTTATTCCTTAACATTTTCTCAAAACAACCCATGTTGGTGTCATGCGTCTTTAGTTACATTGTTGATGTCAAACATCTCTACATTTGAGCCGAACTCGTCAGACAGCAGAACTCCACCATAATGTACAATCGATTAATTATTTTGGATATAATCCCCACTGTACTCGTCCTTTCTACATCACAATTACATCTACATCTACATCTACATCTGCATCCGCACTTTTTTCAAATTTTGTTCGTAAACATTTGTAGTTCTACATTGCACAGTTTGACATCTCTATGGAATCTAGCACAGGGGGTCCAAACTCATTGTGCACTTTGACATCTCTACAAACTTGATATGCAGGTTTGGTATGTAGTACTACATAATTATATTTGTACATTGCACAATTTGGCATCTTTATAAAATCTCATACAAAAAGGTCCAAAATTTGATGTGTACCTTTGATACTCTATATTGGACTGTATTATGAATATGATTTTAACTTCTTTTTCTTTCTTAATAGTGTTAACAACTATCCTATCTTCCTAGAAAACGCGCCAAGAATAAAAAATTTTGGAGTCATAGATTATGATTTTGGTTCTTGAATTGAATGAGTGATTGATTGAGGGTAACCCACCACGAGAAAGAAGTTGTGACCTTTGAGTCAAAAAGAATAATCTTTTGAGCTAGCTAGCAAGAGTATAATCCCCCAGTTAATAGCATCTCATAGCCATGGAATTATTTTGTGGCCTTCTCCTTGTCCTCTTTCCGACAATGTTTATGGTTTCCTTCCATTAACGTTATCATTTTGGAACTAGGGCCATTTGGTAGACAATCTTAGTTCATTCCAAGTGATATGTCGCCTATATGTGCTCATCCTGATCTCTGTGGCCTGTTCGGAATGTTATGCTATGCCCTGTTTGGTTTAGATAAAAATAAAATTATTAGTATATTTTGATAAAAATTGATGGAATATGTGGTAGAAAAAGAGCGAATCCCACAAAATGTACAGTTAAGATTTGTTGTTGATGTTGACTTAAATATTAATCTAATTTTTAGTTGAGCCAACCAGGAGCTAGATGCAAATATTGAACACGACGTGAACATGGTGTTAAAGATAATACAAAGGAATCAAAAGAGGCTTACCTTAATTTCCTTGGGAGAATGAAAATTTTCAGCCATGACATTTTCAAATATTTGTGCAGGCATTTTTAGATATTGGTGAAATTAATAAACTGAAATACTTTTTAGTGTTCGGTGAGCAATATATATGGCTTTGCAGAGCAATAATTAAGATTCGATTCTTTTATTTTTTAATAAATATTGATTTACACGCTACCAAACAAGTCATTAATGTAAGAGTAATGAAAGGTAGTTTAATTGGAGTTGTAACCCTAATTTATATGACAATAAGGGTCCGTTTGATTGTAAAGATAAAATTTGGGTGGAAAGAACAAATTTTAAGGAATTGAATTCCCTAGAAATTGTTTTACTGAAAATTGTCAATTATTATGCTTGATTGGTATAATTTTCTCGTGGAAAATGTTGAAATAAAAGTGCTTTTTAGTATTCGTTTGACTTTGTTTTACATGAAAATTGTCAATTAAAATGATAGAATTTACTAGTATTGGGGATAGAATTTGTTTCCATTGCAAAAATAAAAAAGTTATCTATCTTTTGTTGTTCGTTTGACTTTATTTTACATGAAAATTGTTAATTAAAGAAAAATATTTTTTTTTTTACAATTAGGGATAAATTTATTTCCATTGTTCCAAGAATTTCATGGAAAATAAATGTCATCAAACACCAAAAAAGTTGGAAAATGGAATTCAAGTCCTGTCAAGGACCTAAATGATAGGTTAAATGAAAAATAAAATTAAATGAATCATTAACTCTAATTATAATTTAATATCACCTATATTGGGTTTGCCCCAATAGGGCTAACGTTTTCCAAAGTACGGAGCTTTCTGAATGTTATTCCTCACATGAAGAAAAAGAACATTGAGTTTTGCATAATAGTCAAAATAATATTTAAAAATGACCTAATTTTTCCCCTATCTTTTATGATAATTAGATGATAATTTCGTCAATTCAATTGATTGGATGCTAATTTCTTATAAAGCGTGACAGTTATTTTTTGTATAAAAACTAGATTTGGTGGATCCATTGTATTATTTGAAACGGGTCTATTCCATTTCTTCTGTAACCTTTAAGAAATTAATAAAAATAATTT